AAATGGTAAGTATTGCAAATTAATCGGCGCCCAAATCGGTATTTAATTCCGCTATATATATACGTACGTATACACTAGATTCAATTGAGTAGTAAGTTTTGAAAATATTCTTTGGTGAATATAAGATACCTTCAAAAGCTGATAATATATAGTTTGGTGGGGGTAACAGAAGTACTATAGTTTCGCGACTTTTCTGAACGTCTGAGATTTTAACCACCACTATTCGGCATGGTTTGGTCAAAATCTTGGTATCACATGGAACGGTAAGATTATTAGGGCCGCCTACCTTTGCTTGCGAATGAATTTAGTTCTCGCGTTGTCGCTCTTCTTTATTGTACCATCTGTTTTATTTTCTATTTCATACCATATGTAGAACCGAGAAAAATCTAGAAAAAGTCGGAACAATTGAAATCGCGGTGGATGATATAATAAATACGAGGGAATCCAAGAGATTGTTCCAAAAATTCAGATGACATTTGCGCAAAAAAGGGAACAAATGAGAAACCTCGTTATTTATCAGTATTATTCTTCACTACTTACTTCTTCTGGTTGCTATTAATTACTGAATTATTCGTTCAAACGTATTGACTATAATGTCCTGTTATATAAAGGAGGAAAGAAGCGCCAATAGTATTAATAATGTTGACAACATGTCTGATGTGACGTAGCAGAAACGCGACTAGTTCTATACGCGCAAGTTTTATTAATATTCCACAGCGAGGGCGCGGGGAATGGAAGGCTCTGGCTATGTCACGTCGTAAAAGGACGTACCAACTGTGGGCATGAACTTAACTGGCCAAAGCAAGCCACGAGAAGAGCTACGATTGTTTTGAAAGTACTGGATGCTTTTTGCCAGCATTGTAAATTGGTACGTGCTGTTCAGAATCTAACCAAATATCTCAACATGCCGGGCTGTTCAGCGCTGGGTGAGAAATAGGGAGCTCATGTAACGTGAAAAGGAGGTCAGAAAAGACACACTTTTGCTACATAATGTTTGTTATCACAAACGTGCAGAAAACACCGTTAACCATTGCAATAAATCCTCAAATTATAGCTTTCGTAATGTAGGCACATTGAGCGCCAAATTGTAAGAAATATGGCACTTCGTTTCGAATAAACCCCTTTTGATGTTCTTTGAATGCGTTTGAGGAAAGGATCATACATTTCAAATTTCGCGCGTAGGAGATGAAAAAAAAGCCGCACGAATTTCTTCCCGGTTGACCTAATACTCACTTCTTTCGTACAATTTTCCATGACGTAGACGGTCAACTGTTTCCTGTTAGTTTCGTCACCTAAAGATCGCATCAGCTGGGCAGCCCCGAGTAAAATATGCCATTGTCAAATTTCGGGGAACCCAGCGATTTCTACTTAAGGTCCCACGACGCATCACCAGCTCGCATTGTCATCAGATGCACTGGATGCAGTCGCAACATGAAGTAAAAAAGACAAAAGTCGTGTAGAAATTGATTTCGTCTACATAGATGTAACTGTGACACTCTCTTCAATACTAGTTGATTCTTTCTCCAAAGTAACAATCTTTGTCAATAGTGTGTCGTTTCCTAATAGTCTCTCTAAAACCGTAGAACTATCTTAACAGACAAGAATCTTTTCTAAAAACCTTAACTTGAACGTAGGCGGCTATTGCACACTTACGTAAACGCGATTACGATATCAAGATCCAGTTCCTTTAAATATTTTTTTTTCTAAATTAATGATTTGAAATATGACTAATGTATTTTATTCCAATAGACCTAATTTACTTTCTTGCCATTAAAAAGGAACTTTTTAGGAAGAGAGAGTTACGAAATAGTGCGCGAGAAAACGGCAAGACGAGTGGATAATGCCTGATGATAACTTTAAAAACAAAAATCCTCTAATGTATGGTGTAGACAAAATCTAATTTTTGTTGATTCTCGATACCGAAAAATAGATCGACGGCAAAACGTCTGCCTTTCCGTCCGTCTGTGTAGAACGCTAGCGCAGAACCGTTCAGTCGATTTTCTCCCAAATTGGTATTTCCCAATCATTGTAACGACTCCTTGTATTTGAAACAGATATTTTAATATGGGAGCTTCTTTACTTAAAGCCCCTTGGATATTTTCAACATTTTCAAATAAAATTTCTCCAAATTATTTGATTAAATTTTGTTGCTGAATGGTGCAGAAGACGTTTCAGAGAATTTCGTTGAAATCGATGATTTTTGGAAATTGGAAGAAAATTAAAAAGACAAAAATAGAAGATACAGATTTTTTCTCAGTCTGTTGTACAAAATTAGCTCTTTTAAGAAGGTCATGTACAATTTTTTTAACGAGTAGTTTTTGCGTAATTTATGCATGAAAATAATGAAATATATAGAGCTTTACAGCAAGTACGGACCACGAGAAAAATTTGATTTTAATTATTTCTTACTGAAAATTCCAATTTTAATTTCTCTCACTTTTACTTTTTCTCATTTTGTATTCTCAATGTATTGAATTCCTTTCAATCCGAAAATTAATTTAAATATCCGCAACAATATCGCATTGCTATTTGAGAAGCTCATTGCCATTGAACGTGGAGATAGTGGTGGTGATAAGATACAGCTCTTTTTATTAGTCGTCTTTATCTTTCATAAATGATTCGAAACCTAGTTGATAATCCATATTTTTCCATTTTCACAATTTTCTCTCATGCTCAAGAGAACCTGTGCTGACAATGATGCATATTTTTTTCAACATCAGTCCAGTACTTTCGTTTGCGATGAATTTTGCAACATTGTTTTGTAAATTACTCCTGTAATAAAAACTACCCTGTGCTGTACGTTACATTTAATATCATGTGATTTCTAAAAAATTACTGCATATTGAATAAAAGAAAAGATACATTAACCCTATAACTTCTTCACTAACTTATAAGTATGCCCTCGGAATTTTTTCCATAAGAATCTGTACTAATTTACACTTTTTTATTTAAAAAGTATACCCATCTGGGCCAAATTGTTTCTTGCCGTTTTAAAGAACAGAGATTTTACTTTATTGGTTTTATTTTGCAATAAGTGTTTTTGTTGAAAATATGGTTACGAAGTGTGATTGTGTTGTTACGTGGATATGGGTTTGTCTAAAACAAAACAAAACAAAACAATCCTACTTTGCCAGCCATCTCTTAGAACACGAAGACTCATTTAATGCCCGCAGTGACGTCAAAATTTTACAAATTGGAAACTAATACACTCAGACTTAAATTAGAAGCCATAAAAATCAATAATTGATTAAAGAACCCCCAACACACTTTTTTGAATGAACACATTCCTTCCCTTTCACACTCCTGGAGTTGTCGCTTCCCACGCACTTACAGCATTTCCAGAAACGCTCAAACGCCATTTTGTCCAAAAGCATCAATTGTATTTAAACTATTCGAAAGGATAGTACTTGCAATCTTTAATATAACATAAAAATCATTTCGGTTTATTATTATTTTTTGGTTTTATAAAAATCAGACGAATGTAGTTTTTTTGAAATGTCTTTTATACATTTTTAATATGCTTATTTCCCGCGATTTGTAAACACTAATGCATTTGTGATTAGAAGCTCTTCAAATGACTTTATATGAAGTTTTTCGAAAACTCAAAAGTTTTTTGTTAAAAGAGGATCATATTTTGAATTTACAATCACGTTTAAATGCCATTTTCTTAAAAATCGAATCGAACCTGGCGGCGGCGGTGGTGTAACGGCTAGCGTACTGTACTGTTGTACCCAAGGGGAAGTAAAGCCGGCTGTCCCATGTTCGTAGATTTACTTGCATGTCAAAGATCCTCAAGCCTAAATGACGCCTCTGAGCTAAATTCAAATCGCCTGTTTCTCGCCCAAGAAATACCTTCTTTCTCTGCTATATGAAAGAAGCGTAGCGAAATTTGCGTGGTCAGACGGAAGAGAGGGCCTGATGGCGCGAGTCTCGCCACGTAAAATAAGGCATATTCAATTCAATTCAATTCAATTCAAATTTTCAATTTTTTTTAGAAAATTTTGCCTTTTAGGACGAGATTTTACTGTTCTTGAATATTTTAAAATACTATTTCCGTTCTACTACTAGGAAACGGAAAAATTAAGAAAAGTTCAAAAAATGTAGTTTCGAGGGCGATTGATGGCTGCAGGCAGTATGTGATAAGTTCGAATAGGTAGCAGAGACCAAAGGAAATATAACACTAATACGGAAAAGTCTGTGACATTCTGTAGCACCACTACTTAATATTCTGTTATAGATTATATTTTATTTGTTACTTGGAAACTATTTCTTGTAGCACTAAAGATAGCCGCATTGCGACCAAAAAAGTTTTCTGTAAAAAATAAAAACATACGACAGAACTGCGCCTCAATTCTATTATTATAGTGCAAGTGCCATAAATTCCACACCGTTTCCTACCATAAAAGAAGTAATTTGACCAGATTTTTAAAACATTATAAAAATATCCTAAGGTCTTCATGTAAAGTACATAATAAATAACAGTGCCTGTTATAAAACACGAGGTTTTGTACACTATAGTTAGAGCGAAGTAAAACCAATTTTTTCAGTGAGAAATTCTCGTAACTTGCATCTTTCTCATAATATCGATATTGACTTCGGACAAAATTACAGAAAACTCTATATCGCCAACACGAGAAAACCTCCTTATTTCAAGAAAGCTCGGGGACCTAAGATCTAACATCATACGTTTCCCCAAGTGAAATGCAGGAAACAGTCCAGTTTGTTGGCGCAACGTTTAACAACATAGAAAGTTGTGATATATTGCACAGAAGATAATCTATTTCTAGGTAGATTGCAGCACTTGCCTATAAATTAATTCTTTCGAAGAACATGTTCCATTTGAAAATTTGTTTTCAACGTTTCACAAATAGACAACTATATTCTTGCTCTGTGAATAAACTTATTTCTGATTAAAGTAAAAGCGTATATGGATTCACAATGTTTACAAAAATAAGTTAGTGGGTTGATTAAAAATTGATTTTGGTTATGGATTCTTGCAGGATGTCTTCAGAAAATGCCATGAAAAGCATAAGACTGCTGCATGTAAGTATTTTAACTTACTAATGTAATTATTTACAATAAAACATTATTGTGAATACTCAGTAAATAATAAGTGGTGACTACAGAAAATTGTCTCAAGACTTTTTTAATCCTTTTCTCTAAACTAGAAATACAGATTAAAATTCCTCCAAAACGAGATATTCCTTTTTTAATCTTTAGAAAAACATTTTATTTTCTTTAATTTTAAGTACCCATCTGTAATTTTTAGCATCTGCGTACTTACGTAGTGGCAAGAAAGTTTGTGTTGTAATGCTTCAGCGGAAAGTGGTGAATTTGTGTACACAAATGATTTGTATTGGCGGACACCTATATAAATAACATGTAATTAATCTTGATCTCTTATGTAAATTATTTCTACTATAAAATGGTATTACTCTGATTCCTCTAATAAACGGCACGTTGTACCCACACGCGTAAAAAATGTTTTTATTTGCTCGTATGATTGCACCGCATGGCATATTGTCGTGTCGCAACTTTTCCTTCTCGCAAAATCAAATTGCATACCACTCGTATTATAAGTAAATATTTCTCTGTTAAATCAAGTATGCTTTAAATAAGTCGGCAGTCCCATTTTTGTTTGGGTCTCTAAATTTGTGAAAAATGCAAATGTTAAAAATATTGCGAGAAATTATGAGCTGGTTTGACATCGTTAGTCAATACTGCTGCCAAATTTTAGACTTAATTTTTTATGATAAATTATTATATATTTTGTCGTACTTGTCTCTAATGACTTTTGGAATGACTTTTTATTTCTTACAAACATGTATAAAAAGTACATTTTTGTAGTTGAAAAACTATTACACCCTTACATTACCTTTTTGATAACATATATTAAATTATAATTAAATGTAAAAATGTGATTTAATGTAAAAAATGTCAATGCACAATGTGATTCTTTACAGATAATTATGATGGAGCAAAGGGGTGGCCTAATCGCGAAATGATGGTAATTATATGAATTTACTTGAGTATTTTAAACCACAACTTTTCGAAATACGTGTTATAAAATGATCCAATTGGACGCTCTATATGTAGGTGTAAGCATCTCTTGTTCTTCTGACGTCATGGATACTCTCAGCGAACACGCACACACACGGTTTTCATATAAAAATATTTATTTACAAAGAAAACACAACAAATCTTTACAATGAATTTACACTTTACACCTAGCTCTAATAGAACTGTTATCCCCTGATCACGGGAGCGATCCCAACCCGATTGATGAACAGCTTCAATTGAGGCACTCGCCACTACTTCTGAAGCGCGCACAAAGCCAAGCTTCCGTGACCGGATGTCTCACTGGGACACAAAGTCCGTACAGGCGAACCAACCGATGGTTTGCCTCGATCGCAGAAGCGATCTTACCCGATTGAGAATCGGCCGCGAGTCGTGGCACTCAAC